ACCATAATGCGCTTCAGCCCCAGTTGTATTGAGAGACTCGAGGGACGAGGCTACTGTCTGATTCATCGTAAATTTTAAACGGATTTCTTCGATTATGGTCAAACTACTTAACTTTGGTTATTATAAACTTACCTGTGTGTTTGTAATGAACTCCCGTTCGATAAAATCCATTGCACAACTAATTATCACAACGATGAGAACAATTTCTCTCTTTAAAAATTTGAAAATTTACTTGTAATTTCGACAGAGTCGATGTCAACAATGTCTTCGTGACGTATTGGTCGAATCCAATATACCTGTTGCGGGGGTTGGTTAACATTGAAAGATAGTTTGACAGCGCGATCATTTTAATCGTATATGGGTTTGGGCGACGAAAAATATCAATTGAAGGCAATTACATAGGAGATTTATATGGAAACCATTGATCGCCAGTCTATCAAATTTTCTTCACAATTAAAATATCACTGATTGCACGGATACTCGTAAAAATAAAGTCATAAATAAACTATAAATATCCTATCTTCTTTATGTTATAAATAATTTAACAAGGATCATGAAGCTTACCTCCGAATTCTCTGAGTGTATTTTTAATTTTATACGCATTCTTTCGATCGAATAATAACCGCTTCAGTAACATCTTTAAGCGTGTTGCGGCAGCCCTCAGCGTGTCTATTGCCGTATTGGGTGCCCGGGTGGGTATATAATGCTACTAAGCCCGTATGACCCCGTAAGAAGCGGAACATTAATTCTCGATTCGACAGTTTTGACCGAAGTGTGATAAAGCCCGTAAAACGAATGTATAGTTGTGTTTGTGCGGCATGCGTGTTCAAAAGTAAATAATCCCATCCGAGTCGCTAATCAAATAATTAGAACAAAATATTTCAAAAAGTAAAGCTATAAAATTTGCAGAGATTTTACTAGAATGTAAAAGACGGTAACTAAATACAGGAATGCGGGTAGTTATGTGTGCGAACGCTCAAACTCAATGCCAATTGTCGTAGGTATCCAGACCACTCGGACCAAAGACTACTCGGACTAAGACCAGTCGGACCAAAACAAGACCAGTCGGACCAATTAAATTATATTATAAGGCTAGACAATATGCTATTTATTTATTATTAAATCACAATACAAAGAAGCAAATAATTCTTATACGGAATTCTTATATTTAGAGTTGTTTGGTTCAATTTTGTGTACGTAAATAAATCAACGATTAGTTTTAAAATTAATTAATAATGGTGCCAAAAAAAAATATCAATCTAATTTTTCTTTACTCTTGCAATGAGACTCGGTATGTCCAGACTTTTGACAGTTTCTACATATACGGGTATACTGTTCTTGTCTGATAGCCTAATTTTACTTTTTCCACATTCGCGGTATCCCCAGTGGTTTCATTCCGTTCTACCCCACTAACCCCTGGGTTACTATATATGGGGGGGGGGGGGGGGTGGAGACACGTTTTCAAGTTATCAGCACATAATAATACGAAGACCGGACGTTTATATGCCCCTTTTTAAACGTGACTACAAGTGTGGTTCTCGATATTTTGCGATTTGGAATACAATTATCAATTTATTCAAACAACACGTTATTATTAGTTCGAGTAGTCATATTAAAACACACACAATTATCAATTTATTCAAATAACACTTTATTATTGGTTCGAGTAGTCATATTAAAATAAACACAATTATCAATTTATTAAAATAACACTTTATTATTGGTTCGAGTAATTATATTAAAACAAACGCAATTATCAATTTATTAAAACAACATTTTATTATTGGTCCGAGTCGTCTTTCTGTTGGGTCCGAATAGTCTTTTTGTATGGTCCGAGTAGTCTATTTGTTTGGGCTGAGTGGTCTATCACTTGGTCCGACTGGTCTTGAACCGAGTGATCTTTGGTCCGAGTGGTCATGGATTCTTGTCGTAATTGTACTTGAATTTCCTATGCTGTCACCCCTAATACGAAATGATATCTTCCGCAGAGTGACGTAACCATCTTCCATATTGGTATTTTTCTCTGGGAAAAGTTTGTGATATTTCAATTTTTCAAGAGAGAACTTGTTTTCATCGTTGTGATAATTAGTTGTGCAATGGATTTTATCGAACGGGAGTTCATTACAAACACACAGGTAAGTTTATAATAACCAACGTTAAGTAGTTTGTTCATAATCGAAGAAATCCGTTTAAAATTTACGATGAATCAGACAGTAGACACATTGCACCAAATCAAATGGAGTTATGTAGACTAGAATAACTAGACGCTAGAAATTTGCACTCGATTGAGATTGCTGACTTATTTCGCCGAACATAACTGATTTGAAATTGGAGTAAAAACGGAAACCATTAAATGTAAATCAGTTTATATACATTCATATTACAGTATTATATGCGTTGCGACCCACTTTTGTGAATTTCTAGGTCCCAAATGTTAGCGATTTAAATTTAGCTCCTTTAACTGTAAAAACAAAAAATCAAATAAAATTCGTCAAATGCTGCACTTGTCTTCAAACAAAAATGAATGAACATGCTGTTTAGCTTATATTTGAAATAGTATTTGCAAACCATATCACGTTCGATGTTGTTTTCAATTTTAACACTCCGCCAAACCATTCAACCTGATGAAGAGCGAGTCGTTTGTATCAACATAATGGTCCCGATCAGGTGCTCAATCGCTAAATTGACCAAACGACGTCATAATGTTGGACCGAACACAATTTGGCGACATATTCGGCTAGCGACCTATTCGACCGATCCAGCTGGCAACCTGTTCGTTGGCAACCTATTCAGAATAAATTCAACAGTCGCCAAAACTCATCTATTTTTATCAACCAATCAAATCCAACGTTACGTCTATCAAATGAAAGTAGAATATATTATTATTTATCCATTCCTTTAGCTCAGAATAGAGATGTATTTTCGCATTATCTTACAAAATTCTGGACATCCAACTAAATATATTCCGAAAGGTAAATAAATTTGCTTTCCAAATATACTTAGTAAAAGTTGGCACAATCATATTAAAGGGCTTCGCTCTCATCCTAAACGTCGACAATTATTCAATATTTTAAAGTGAAAGAACAGTAATATTCCGAGTCAAAATTCGGACCATCGTACAAAATTCTGAGTATCTAGCTATATATATTCTGAAAGTTTATTGAATAAGCTCTCTAAATATTATTAGTAAAAGTTGGCACAATCATATTAAAGGGGCGCGCTGTCAACCTAAACATAGTCAATTTTTCTAAACGTCGCCAATTTTTCAATATTTTAAAGTGAAAGAACGGTAATATTCCGAGTCAAAATTCGGACCATTGTACAAAATTCTGAGCATCCAGCTATATATATTCTGAAAGGTAATTGAATAAGCTTTCTAAATAATATTAGTAAAAGTTGGCACAATCATATTAAAGGGGTGCGCTCTCATCCTAAACGTCGCCAATTATTCAATATTTTAAAGTGAAAGAACAGTAATATTCCGAGTCAAAATTCGGACCATCGTACAAAATTCTGAGCATCCAGCTATATATATTCTGAAAGATAATTGAATAAGCTTTCAAAATATTATTAGTAAAAGTTGGCACAATCATATTAAAGGGGTGCGTTCTCAACCTGAACATAGCCAATTTTTCAATATTCTAAATGTAAAGATAGGCCGGTATTTTTTTCGAAGTCGAAATTCGGTTCATCGTACACAATTCTGAGCATCCAACTATATATATTCTGAAAGGTAATTGAATAAGTTTTCTAAATAATATTGGTAAAAGTTGGCACAATCATATTAAAGGGGTGCCCTCTCATCCTAAACGTCGCCAATTTTTCAATATTTTAAAGTGAAAGAACAGTAATATTCCGAGTCAAAATTCGGACCATCGTACAAAATTCTGAGCATCCAGCTATATATATTCTGAAAGATAATTGAATAAGCTTTCCAAATATTATTAGTAAAAGTAGGCACAATCATATTAAAGGGGCGCGCTCTCAACCTGAACATAGCCAATTTTTCAATATTCTAAATGTAAAGATAGGCCGGTATTTTTTTTCGAAGTCGAAATTCGGATTATCGTACAAAATTCTGAGCATCCAGCTATATATATTCTGAAAGGTAATTGAATAAGTTTTCCAAATATTATTAGTAAAAGTTGGCACAATCATATTAAAGGGGTGCACTCTCATTCTAAACGTCGCCAATTTTTCAATATTTTAAAGTGAAAGAACGGTAATATTCAAGTCAAAATTCGGGCCATCGTACAAAATTTAATGAAAAACAATATATTTGAGTAGGGCGAAACGCAAAAACGTCCCCTAGAGGGAAGGGCCAATCGCCCAAGGGCCAATCGCCCTACACTACTAATATTAGTGTGTCTATGCTGCTACGAGTATGTTTAATCAAGATATATTTTGTATGTTTTACATCTATATTATATTTTGTATGTTTTACGTATTATGTTAAATCTCTATGTTTTTGATGTATTAAATGTTTTGTTGTATTAAATTAATGTTTATAAAATGTATGTATCTTTATTATCTATATCTATATATGTTTTTGTTAATAAATATCATTTCCTACATGTAAAAGATTTTTTGTTTTTAGTGGGACGGTTATGACCAAATTTTTTGGCCGTTTCGACCAGATTTGTTGTCCGTTTCGACCAAAATTTAATGCCGTTATGACCAAAATTTTTGGCCGTCATGGTTTAGGGCCGTTATGTCTTTAACCCAGTTGGATTATACATTGTCTTAATTTAGAAATAACATGCACAGAAGTTAGAAATTACATGAATAGAAGTTAGAAATTAGACGATAGCATGTTAGAATTTTGAATCTAATATACCGCCATATTGATGAGTCGCGTGCATGCGGACAGTCAGTCGATTGTCTGCACATACATTCGTGCTCGTTTAACTCCACGTGCCTTTTTCTTGATCAACCAGCGATATATTTTCTGGATGTACAAGACTACGAGAAATAACGGGATTTCAGTCTGTCAATGGCTGGAGATGTCGAGGTAATGTTGAGAAGCAGTTAACGATGTTTTGTCTTGGACTACATTAACAAATTCTACCGTTTTAATTCTCTATGTAGCAACATGCATCAAGGAAATGGGCCTTTGGTCCTAGCAGCTCTGACTCTAATATGGAATTTAGCAGACGCTGGTGAGTATTTATTAATTGTGCTAAGAATAACAAGCGAAGCCTTCAGAGATAAGAACGGTAAATGAATATTTCATGGACTCCCGTTGTTCCCACATGCATGTTCTCGAATTGTGACTTCATACGATACGGGCTGCTTCTATTGTTTTAGAAACAAAATGCCAATCTGTTTCGAATAAAAGAACATACCTCTCCTTGACAATACATAAATAAAATCTGTTTTGTTTTATTTCGAGACAAAATGATAAGCAAGAATTGATCGAATGTGTGTGTGTGTGTATGTGTCTTCTGATCAGACATTCACATTGTCTTCCTTCAGTTATAAATATTTATAACCGGAGTCTTCTTCACCTTTCTATTCGTCTTTCTCCAATTAATTTTAATCATGGGATTTTTAAAGGCTCGCAATACCTGTAATGTCTTTGTTTATTTCAATTAATTTGGATAATGGCCTATTTCCTAATAGATTTTAATAATTAAATTAAATGACGTGCGTTTAAAGGGGCAAAATCGCTAATATTTGGCACCTAGAAATTGACACATGGGTCGCAATTTCTCGCAACATATGAATGTATATAAACTGATTTACATTCAATCGTTTTTACTCTAATTTCAAGTCATTTATTATGTTCGGCGAAATAGGACACAAGTCTCAATCGAATGGCAATCTCTAGCGTCTGGTTATTCCAGTCTACACCAACAGTATTTATTGCACATGCTCTCCAGATAATAATATGACGTCACCATTTGACATGACTTGTGAAATATGTCTAGCCTTGTTCTTCGAGTCCCGTATTACAAATGGCGCTGAAACGCATTATGGTAGGCTACACGATTCGTGTACCAATGGTAAAATATTTATTTTGTCTTAAATATTGGATATCAGAAGCCCATCATTTCCCGGTAAGATCACAACATCAATGTTGATTTAAATTGACAAATAATTAGTGTTTTCGATGTGGAAGACTTTGGATGATATTGAGTTACTTTAATATGAGATGTGGTCATAACGGCCATAAACCACAATAACAAAAATTCACTTTGGTCAAAGCGAACAAAATTTTAGTCGAAACAGCCAATTTTTTAAAATATATTGCAAAATATATTTTACAAAAGATTAAAGATGCATTATGTACATGTTCTGGCTCTAATAGTTTAAATTAAAAATACATGTAGATAATAAATAATGAATATATACAGAAATATAATTAAAATTATTTTATTCTTTGCGAAGATAATGGCTAGATTGTTTATTATTGTACATGTAGTAACGGCACTTGACAACCAAGACCATAAGTCTTGATTATCCGGTTTATTGTTCAATTTTTTAAAATCTTGCAGGTGTTAAAACCATTTCAATTATAGACTCGTTATGTGAATAAATGTCTAAATAATAGTTTATATACATTTCAGTCTGGGCCATCCAATGATCTATAGATTTAATTATAGGCTTGTCAAGTGAATAAATAGTTTATATAACATTTGAAGTCAGAAAAAAATACCTCGCTGTCATTCGTTTGATAAAAATAACCATTTTAAACATAGTTTCAACTACGGTAATCAACACAATGAATTCAAAGCCTCTTTGTCATTTCCCAGAATTGCATGCTGTTTTTCAAAGAAAGGAGGTCAGTAGCCTACAAATTAATCAGGTGATTAATCAATCTGCCACTTAAAGGGACAATAACACTCTTGCTGGCTTGAAAGCTCCAGAAAATAAATAATATCTCTATCTAAGTACTAGATGGTTAAGTGTCCTACCTGTTGTGTAAATTATCCATTACATCCTATTTTACTTGTCCAGAGGGTTCGAAAAAATTTTTAAATCGAAGTTTCATTTGAAAAGGTTTACGTTAGACGTTTCAAACCATTATGTTGAATTTTTCAAAATTTTTAAATAAGGTGTGTTAAGATGAAATTTGTATCATCAATTAATTGAAATATTCTAAAATAGTACAATTTGTTGACCAGAATAAAGATTGGGACATATTATTCAGTTACAACAAGAGTGGTATTGAGCCTTTAATAACATTGGATTCATAACAAATATTTATTTGGCTGTTTTATTCAGAATGTTTATTTGTTTTGATTAAGATGTTTGGTCGTTATATTATATGATCAAAATGTTTGGCTGTTCTGATCAAAGTGGTTGATGCTGTTTTAACCAAAGTGTTTGTCCATTTTGCTTTATTGCCGTAATGTGTATAACAGCAGCATGTTGACATGTCTGGAGCAGGGGAGTGTCCAGCGTGGAGACACTGTCTAGTTTCACGAGAAGTCGGGGGGATTACCCCAAGATTTCATTAAATAAAAAGAACTGAGACAATATTTCTGTTCATTTACATGTAGCTGGTGTATACCGTACTCGGATTAGTGTGAAGTGTATTTTTAGGCTGTTTAGAGAGGTTATTTCAAAACAAAAATCCATCTGTCAGATTTCTGGGTTAGGTTTTGTTACATCTACCCTTATTATTAATTATAGGGATTCCAACAATTCATGATTGGAATACATTTTTTGAAAAACTGTTGAATATAAAAATAGATACCATCAAGACTTTTTTTTTTTTTTATCGTACCGACTTCAGTAATGATGATCAAGGCTAGCCTAAAATTAAAAATTTTCAGCATATTCTATTTATGTTATCTATTTTTTTAACTATTATAGCAAAAACTGTCAACTCTTTATCTGATCTCGTATATAATGTCCCTTTAATAAATACATGTAGTTTTTGTAACATTTAAGGCCTAAAGAAAGACTTATTATCCACATGCAATATGGATTTTCAATGAGTCAAGTGGTTAGATTTTGATTCTAGGTGACAAGGATAAGGGTTTCCTACCTGCCTAATATTGTGGGTTTTCTCCAACTGTTAAAGACACAAACTGGGCACAAGAAAACGATCTACCATATATATCATATGTTAGTCCCGAAATGACCTAGTTTGTGTAAATTGTACATTAAAGCCTGTCACTCTCTCTTACTTTGGATTATCGTAAGTGTTATCTTTCAGTTGCCAAAATAAAACATATAAATATTTAGAATGAAATATTCTTTCTGTTTGAGGGGTTTAAATAGGACATTAATGTAGTTGTTGTTGTTGTTGTCTAAAGTTACAAGTAAGAGAATACTATTTGGAGCAGAAAAATCAGGTTAACGTGTTACTACATCTATACAAGTTACTATAGTCACTAGACCTAGTCAGTATATGGCTAGGTGGGTAAGGCGCTGGAGGTCGGGTGTTCGATCCCTGCATTGGCCGTGAAAGTTCATCCCGAATTTCCGACGTGGTTTCCCCTTGTCAGTGATGCAGGACAGAGGGCCTGGCAAGGACAGCTGTCTAGTCCTTCGGATGAGACAAAAAACCGAGGTCCCGTGTAAACATTGGAATGCACGTAAAAGATCCCTTGGCAGTTGGAATTCTATATAAGAGTAGGCGATAGTGCCGCTGCCCGGGTAAAATTTTCCCTCATAGCACACTGTTTGGCGTATGCCCGTCTTCATTAGCCCAGGTTAGGAGCAGAACAGTAGGACTTTAAACTCCATTTCATTTCATTTCCTAGTCAGTACATGTGGAGGCAGACCACCATTAAATTTCACCATCTCGGTACCCACAAATTGTAGTTTGTCTATTTATAGTAATTCTCTCTGTGTGTCTCTTTGCTCCCTTTTTGCATGCCAACTTTTGTTGATTTTTTGGTCTAGAATGGACGAAGAGGGTTTGAATTAACATTTTCTGCCAGGTTTTGGTGAATATTCACGATTTTGAGGCGAAAGGATAACAGAGTTATCAGGTTGGTTACGGTGATACGTACAGCAACTAGATACATGTTTTTAGTATGCTTCTTCAATTTTGGTGGTCAACCTCATACAAATTTTTGTTCAAAGACATGACCATTTGTTCCTCCGTCTGTAGTGAAAAGCATTCAGCCCAACGGAAATTTGGGGAAAAGTTGGAGGGGGGAAAAGAGGCCAGAATTAACATTGAAGTCAATGGGGAAATTAATGGTGGTCTGCCTCCATGTAGATCTAGAAAATTATAGTCCCTTTGTTTAATTAGCAGTCCAACTAGACCTACAAATGTAGGAAACTAATTTGGTTGTCCAAATGGCAGTCAATCAGAAAAGTCAAACCCAGTGCATTAATCAACTGTTCTTCAACTATAGTTTCTTTGTTTAAAGATACATTATGGGAGATTCGATAAAGAGCTGGCAGTTCTCACTATAATAGTTAAAAACTACATAGTGTAAAGGGAATTTGCTGAAAATTTCAGTCAAATTGATCCACTATGAGCCGAGAAAGAAGCGGGTGAAATTTTTGCATAGTCTCGGTCATCATTACTAAAATCATTAATATAAACAGCATAGTCTCGATTATCCACTTTTTCTGATTTAATTATCAATAGCCATTAGTGGCATATAGGAATCTAATCCAGCCAACATCGAAGGCTAGCCTTGACATCAAGAGTTTATTATGGTCTGGATAAGTTAATTAATGTCTAATTGATAATTTAGATAACATTTCAGGCCTAAAGAAAGACCTGTAATAAGCAGATTTTGCTCTTGCATAATGCATGTTTAAATGGCAGTCTATCTAGATCTAGAAAAGTCCAGCTCATATTGGTTGTTTTATGGTCGTTCACCCAGTAAATCAATCAACCTGTCTTCATCATGATTTGTATGGATTCATCTCTTTTATTCCTCACAATAAAACACATTCCATTAATATACCAGTGCAAATACATTGCCTGGTGAACATTAATTAAGTAAGTAACTTTCGTTAGCAGCTGTTATATTATTAAGGGGCATGGGTGGCGGAATGGTTACCATAAGGTCTGTCATTGAGTCAACTGGCGTGGTTTCGAATCCCCAGTTGTACGTGACAAGGAGTAGGGTCGCCTGTTAAACCTCATGGGTTTTCTCCAGGTTCTCCGATTTCCTCCCGGGTGGGTTGGATGACCGAATGGTTAGCACGTGCGTGCTGTATCATAAGACCTGTCATTGAG